ATAAATGTACATTATTTATTCAAATTCTTAGAATCTGTTGCAACATTCGTCCAATTACCATTTACAATATTGACTTTTGCACCTCCCCGTTTATCATACTATGTTCATTTCTAATTTCTAACTTACATCTGTATTTGTATTTGCACGGTTCATGATATTTTTATAAGTAATATGTTTTTATCGTCTTACAGCAGTTTTGATATATTGCAATATTTTATGCGGCAATTTTTTTCATTCCATCAATCTTTTTTTTCTTATCTCCCGTGAAAAACAAATTGATATCTTAGAATCACCTATGGTGATTTAGATTTTTTTTTTTTATTGAAACTGATTTAAAACATGTCATACGTTCTTTGTACGACTCCAATTGAAGCTTTCACAACATATTAATCAATTTATTGTCGATCATTAAATGATTAAATTAAATATAATTTCGCAGCTGTTAATAAAATGTTTCACTGAAATATTTCTAACACTCTTCACTGTACATCGGAATTCAAATGACTCTTTTCTTTGGAGAACTTATTTTCTAATTTTCTATATTTTTCAAAGACCTGGCAAAATTTTCAACTATGAAGCACGGAATAAAGTTGCAGAAGAGCTACTTCCTCTCCGATATTTTGAACTATTTTTCCTTCGCGTGTATGATCCCAATACGTTGAATTTTATCCATCTATGTTCGTCTGTAACACACTCGTCTGTACATCATACCTCGAAAATCTAAATAAATCCCGTTTACAACTGCCTTTTGTTTGCTCGTACGTTATAGGACAGAAAATAACATCTTTTAGCTTTACTCGATTGAGAAGACCAACCCAAACATTATAATACTCGTTGTTAATTGAAGCATAACCAGTGGCGTTCCTAACATTGGTGTCATCCCTTCTCCCTCAATATTATACAAAATTATATCATTGTATAATATATTATATAATATTATATATATTGCAATATTATTATATACTGTATTATATATATTATAATATAATTATTATTATTATACAAAAAAAAATCATTTGATTGATTTAAAAGTATATAAGGAGATATCATTTATTACTGTATTGTGATGTCAAATTTATTGTAATTATTTCCAATTCAAACATATGTTATAAATGGATTGCACTCCACGCACCCCCATAGTAACGCCACTGGTTGTAACGCGTAAACATTTCTTGTAATTTCGCAAATGTAGCTTTTCGTTATTGTCCTTATTTCTCAGAAAAACTTGAAAAAACTTGACTTTTGCCCATAAAAACGGACCACGTTTTTTTTTAGACCACGTTTGGTCCTCTCCATCGATCTCTCTTTAGCTTTGGCTTGTTGTTAGCCATAGGAAGATTGGAGAAGCTGCTTGCATGGTCCACTGCAGTCCACAAAACGCCGGATCAAAGTTCGACTCGACTCATTATGGCTTCTTAATACTAGTCTAGTAGATTAGCCACTTAATAAAGATACAAATCTTTCCCACCTGAAAACTCAGATAAAAACTTTCATTTCTTGCCTTTCTAACTGTTAAAATTTCAATATTACGCGCTACCATGAATACGTGATGTGATAGCTCATGTGACTTCGCATGATATAGGAGAGCCCAGCGATCGCGGAGTACCCGTAACCTCTTTATCCCGACGAACGATGAGGCAACAAAAGGAAAGATGCGAAGGATGGAAAAAGAAAACTAGAAAGAAAACTAGAAAAGAAAACGGCAAGAAAACCAGAAGACGCGGTGCAGCATTGGTAGCTGACCAAAGGAAAGGAAAGAAACAGCAGAACAGAAGCCGCAAGGCAGTTGGAAAGAAGCAGCGGAGAATATTCCGGTCCCGTAGCGGAGAATCAGTACACGATGCAGGTTTTAGTCGGAATCTTAGTAGGAATCCGACACTACCAAGCTCCGCAACATGGGCTGGCTGTCTTATGCAAGATTTCCTCCACGTATGAAAAAAAAAAAAAAAATAGAAAAAAATGTGACTGCGTTACGTTCATGTTCAGATTATGTTTCTGTGTTGACGTGTCCGATGCAAATATATAACACTTGAACATAACACTTGACAAAAGAAAAAAAGAAAACGAACGCATTGCATGTTTATTTATATATGCGTTCGATGTATGTTAAGTTATTAAACGCAATACATATGTAAATTGTAGCATGGGGCGAATGTGTGAACAGGTTCAGTGTCAGTACAGAACATTTCCACGAGTATTATGAAACGCAGTGTTCTTGTTTGCCATTTATCGATTATACATGCACGTGAGATGCATTCGTATATTCGCTTGGATCTAGTAATCGTTGAAAATCTGGTCATTGGTGGCCTGGTCGACAGTGTATAATGATTCCTAGAGTCGAGCAGTGTATCATATCTGGCCGCCGTAAGATTGCTACGAACGTACAGTCATTGGCAAAATTCGTTGTACCGACAGATTTTCTGATTGTCTCAGAAATTGCGGATGTAAGGGAAAAGATTGTTCAAAATATACGACGTCTACGACACGGTTAAAAATCATCTTGTAATCTTCGCCAAGCACGCTCCTGGCCGATGTCCTTTGAAATGGCCTTGAACGATGACCCACGTTGCCAGGGTCATCGTTTTCCTATACGGATGTTCGGACTCAGTTTCCAAGAGATACGAAAAAAACTGCGGTGAGATTTCCAGACACTTGCCATTCCGGTTTGACTGGAATTTTGGAAGCAGCTTCACTTTACATAAATGATAAACATACAATAATGCAGGAAGAAAATTGTTTCGATACAACGAGACAGAAATTATAAATGATAATGATAAAATGATGGTAAATTGTAAGTTATAGAAAATAATGATAGCAAAAGGGGTAAACAGGAAATAATAATAATAATGAAAGCTTTGCGAAGAAAATTTGGGAATAAAGCGGCCCGTCTTAAAATCTTCTTCTTCTTCGTTCACGAAACTTTTTATGATTATTTATCAGTTACATTATTTGCGCAGTCAAGTATGTGAAAAATGTACAGAAGCATCGATATTTCACCTTTTTTACTATTTTTTTTTTTTGGTTTCTTCTTTGCTTTGCAATTGCTTGTACGATTTTTGCTGTCAGCGATTGATACACGATGTTCCATATGACAGGATGATCCATTCAAGTGGATAGTATCGAAAGGCCAATACAACTGATGAGAATATTCTTTTCCAAGATCGTTTTTTTAAGAGTTTTCAAGATCATTTTTTTCACACAAATGTATTCTTTTTTTTTTTATTGCATCGTGTAGCTGGTAAAAGAATACGTTAGAATTGCGACAATGCAAAAAATTAATTATTTTTCGCCTAACGTGAATGGTATCGAAACTTGATAGGCAATAGTAAGAATATATACTGGTAAGAATATTCTTCTTTGACAGGGTCGTTTTTTTCAGAGTTTTCAAGATTATTCGTGTTTCTCTTTTTTCATGCAACTATGTATTTTTCCATATTGCATCGTGTAGCGGAATAAAAACATTATTCAGATATGCAAAGAATATAACCTTGAAAGTTTAAATTTTACGTATAAATTTATCTCTGTTCGAGATCACAGATCTTGGCGACAACAAACAACCTAATAATAAATGTAAATAAACATGTTTACTATTTATCACATCGTCAATCAAATAGTCTAGCAGCATGAAATTCCAATTGGTGTAGTTCAGTAATTCGATAGTAATTCATAATGGAATGCTCATCGCAAAAAAAGATCGATATACATATTCATTTACAGTGAAAGTGTTTGCAAGAAGAAATTTGAGAGTGTACAGGGATATACAGATTTCCTAATCGTAATCAAAAATTTTCGTGTGAGAAACGTGTGAGAAACTAAAACTGTTCATAGCGAAAGAAAAACAAAGAAAAACTGTTAAAATTAAGGAGAATCCACGTGTGAGTCTAAGGCAACTTGAGCGTGAGAGTGGCATTTCTAAAGCTGGCATAATACAGATATTAAACGGAGAAAAAATTTCACTCCTATCATTTATCTCTGCATCGAGATCTTCACGGATTAGACTTTGTAAGTCGTAAACATCTTTCTTGCAGCGATACGAAAGTGACCGTTTATTCTTTGGTAGAAAAACTTAAATTTTTGGTCGTCGTTGTCACTGATCCTGTAAACTTTAAAACTTGGACAAAAAAAATTTTTTACCCATTATTGACCTTTCGAGGTCAATAATTCGTGTTTGGCGAAAAATATTGTTTGCACCGTCACACAATTAAAGATATTTAGATAGTCCCACTTAACCTCTTTGTGCTGAAATAACGTCGAGAATTTTTGGTTCAATAATTGTAATATTTTCTCAGTTTTAAGTATATTTAAGTAAAACAAAATAGGCAAAACAAATAATAAATTTATTACTTTTCAATAATTTCTATCCAGTGGTATCATACCGGCGAGTTCAAAAAGAAAGCGACGAATTATTGTATACGGTTTGGTCACTCGTTATGGTCCGCAATCAGTTGCAGCGCAAAAGTGGTTAACCTCTTGCGCTGGAATGACGTGTTACGCACGTCGAGAATTTTTTGTCCTTAAATTGCTATATTTTCTCAATTTTAAGTACATTTTAAGTGTAACTCAGGCAAAACAAATAATAAATTTATTACTTCTCAATAATTTCTATATTATACCGGTGAGTTCAAAAAGAAAGCGACGAATTATTGTATACGGTTTGGTCACTCGTTATGGTCCGCAATCAGTTGCAGCGCAAAAGTGGTTAACCTCTTGCGCTGGAATGACGTGTTACGCACGTCGAGAATTTTTTGTCCTTAAATTGCTATATTTTCTCAATTTTAAGTACATTTTAAGTGTAACTCAGGCAAAACAAATAATAAATTTATTACTTCTCAATAATTTCTATATTATGCCGGCGAGTTCAAAAAGAAAGCGACGAATTATTGTATACGGTTTGGTCACTCGTTATGGTCCGCAATCAGTCCGTGGTTAAATGGATTATCATATATATGAAACGAAAGAAGGAAGAATGACTAAGGTAAGTAATGACAATTCTAACGAACGAACAAACGAAAAATCGAATCTAGTAATTACATAATTACTTGTAATCCTGTATTCTTATCATTTCGCCTCTTTTCACAAGATAGGATACGACGGAATGTAAAAACATGTAACTGGAGGGATAGGAAAAATAAGAATGCCCTTCTGAAAAGCGATATATTATTAAGCCAAGGACTGTATTCATTTCAGAACGAAAAATGTTTTTTGAGGGACTGCCAGCATTTGTAATAATCGTCGTCCAACTTGTTGGTGAGTTTGGCAGCCCAGTTGGTCACCGCCAGACTGTAAGATGTCTCAAACATGAAGGCTTGAGTCCCGTCGGCGACACGTTCGGGCTTTAGCTCGCTGTTGGAGGCAGTTTCGAAACAGGAGGCGTCCGGTCCATGTGGCGTCATAATGGAATGCAACGACGCACCGCCTGGATGAAAGCTTTCCTCCTTGGCCTCGTATCGTCCCTTTATCAAGCCCATGAACTCGCTCATACAGTTCCCTGCGGATCGAGCAGACAAATACGCGTGTAAGATCTGATGTTGTTCGACTTGAATTAACTTGAATTAACGAGAACGAGAGAGTGGGAACTAAGGGGCGAGGGAGAGGGAGCAAATGGAATCGGAGAAAGGAAAAATTACAGGTTTCGCGTGAAAAGAAACGGCAGAATGATAGCCGTGAAAGAAAAAAAGGAAGTCGATCGATATCAGCGGAGAAAACTCCGTGTTTTCACCGATATCTCGGTTATACGATTTTTGCGTTATGCGTTCTAGCATAACGAAACGTCGAACATCCAGCGTTATAGCGAAAGCAAAAGTGACTTTCGCGATTGCAACTACTTTTTGTTGTTTGTTTGTTTCTAGATCGGGATGCGAAGGAGCAAAGGGAGAAGTAGAAGAAAAGTATCGTCAATACGGATCCACAGCGGCGGCCACGTTTACGATCGCTATTTCTCGAGATTTCTCCGTCGCGTTGCAGCGGTCGTTGGTTTTTTCGCGATCTCGCCGAACAGCCGACTTTCTACGCACTTACGATGATAATAAGGCGGCCGAAAAGTGTGCTCCTGCACGGACCACCGTGGTGGGAATATCACAAAATCGGCCGCTGCTGTGCCAGCTTTCCCAGAGGGACACGTCAACACGGTGAAGATCGACGGATCCTACGGACAGAAAACATTGGATCGATACTCGTACGATCGATGAGGACGAACACTCGCGCACTTACACAATGATCGAAAGAAACCGTATTAACGGCCATGAATTTGTCGAGGTGGTACTTGAACGGGACGTAGTTCCCGTGCCAAGCAACCACGTCGAACGGGCTGTGGTCTTGCTCCGCGGCGAACAATTTGCCGTGATACTTGCAAACGACCTCGTAATCTGTTTCACGGTCCTCGTAACACGCGACCGGAGTTTGAAAATCCCTTGGATTCGCCAAGCCGTTCGCTCCTGTTCGAAGAGGGAGGAAAATCATGGCCACTGTCTATCGGACTGTCTGTTTTATCGAGTTTAGCGATCCAGTTTACCTATTGGCCCCAATTCGGGCAGCTGAAAATGGTCGTCGAACACTTCCAGGATGTAACCCCGGGATGGGCCGGACACCGCGACGTTGAATCGCATGCCTTGCTGGATCACGCATATCTCGTTCGGCTCGCAACGGATCTTGCCAAACTCCGTGGTTATCAGCAACGCGCCCAACTGAGGCACTGCGAACAACGCGGTGTTTCGTTCGATCAATCGAACGATTGTATTATTTTTGTATGTTGCAACATACCACGCGTCGATCTCGAGAACGGGGAAAAGGAGAGAAGAAGTACGTGTCGTACGCACCAATCAGAAAATCTCCGTCAGCATTGTAGAGAGCCCTGTCCCTCATTGAGGCGTTGCACAGATACACGTGAACGGCGATGCCCTGGCGGACGCGACAATCCCCCGCGCCGCATATCGTGTGCAGACCTTGGACGAAATCTACCTCGGCAGCTTGCCTGGTCGGCACGTCGAACGGTTTCCATCGTAGCTGAAAACATGGCAATCATAATAATGAAATCGACGATTTCCGAGAGAAAGAATCTTCAAGAATACCTGATTCGGCGTCGGAGCTGCAGCGTCCCACGCGTAGTCGAGACGAGGAGCGCAGTCGATCGGTACGAACGGTTTGTGCACGACCGACGGCCTGATTCGATACAACCACGAGCGCCTGTTTCGAAAGCGAGGAGCTGCGGGACGACACCAGCATGTACGTAATAAAGTCTCATTACAATTTCAAAAATTTATTACAAAGGCAAATGAAAAGACAGATAAGTGGAAATTATTACAGAATGAGACGTATGTATTTAAGTTTTTTTTTTTTTTTTTTTTTTTTGCTTCATTTAATACACCTTCATATAGGTACCATTACTAATAGTGTCCATATAGAGGTTTATTAAAAGATATAAATATACAGGGTGTCCATAAAGGCTCTTTACAATTTCAAAAATTTATTACAAATGCAAATGAAAAGACAGATAGGTAGATATTATTACAAAATGAGACGTATATATTTAAGTTTTTTTCTTTGCCTCATTTAATACATCTCTATATGGGCACCATTACTAATAATGTCCATATAGAGGTTTATTAAAAGATATAAATATACAGGGTGTCCATAAAGNAAAAAAAAAAAAAAAAAAAAAAAAAAAAATACCGGTTCAAATAAGTAAATAACATGACATTGGTATTTGAAAATTTAAGTCTTTCTTTTGAAGAATGATCGATCACACTATTGAGAAGAATGATTGATCACCTATTGTGAAAAATGCCTACGATTTATAAAATCAGTTTCGTAAACATCTTCATCAGTTTGCGCATCACTGTGATTTAAACTGAATAGAAACGGTTTCAGTTGTGGGGTTAAGTAGAAATAAAAAAAAAAAAACATATTAACATAAATAATGGACCGAGACCTGATTAATCAATGCCATCCTAGAAAATTGTTGTTGCATTTGCTTTAATCGATTTGATTTGCAACTAAATGACAATCAGCAAAACCTTCGAATAATATCCATATCCTTTAAATTATCATGTATTATATAATATCGCAATTATAGCGATACAATATAAACACATGAACAGTTTCATCATTTGTCCATTGAATGCCCGAGCCAAATAAAAACGATTTGCAAATCATTTTTTATTTAATTCATCGAGATAAAGTGGCAAATATTCGCGGCACAAAGTGTGGTTTGTTCAGCAGAATCAGAAATTATTTAAATCAGGAAATTGTTTGTAGAAATAATAAATAAAATTAAAAAATCATTTTACTTTTGAAAAAGTTACACCGACCAAATTGATTATTTGCAGAAATAAATTTAAAACGCAAAATAGAGTAAACAATCATTTTACTTTCGAAAAAGTTACACCGACCAAATTGAAATGCAATAATGGGTTTGAATAATGATTGGAGCAAGGGCGGCTCGAGTATAGGCACTGCGGAAATGCAGCACCCCCAATTTTCCTTGACATATAAATATATTTATTAACTTATCTATATTTGCTTGTAATGTTTAATTTTGTCATCAACCTACTTTGTATAAAAAGTAATAAAAATCCACTGTATTTGTAGTGTGTATGTACATTTTGAAAGTTGCAGCACCCTCACGATTTCAAGCCAATTCTGGGTTGGAATTATATGAAAGAGTGAAAACACGGCCTATTTTTATCATTTCTAACAGTAACATACATATATCAAGAAATTAAGGATCAGTTTTGGAATTTCCGGGTTCCTTAATTTCCCTTAATAAGTTAATATTAGAACTCAGTTAATACTAAGCTTTTAATACGTATTTAATACGTACGCAGAATGAACCAGCTAAATGGGATCATCCGCTAATTTTTGTTGTAAAAAGAAACTTCTAAGGACTACTTTAAAAGTAGAGCGCGTAATGCTGGAAATATATTTTTTTCCCCGATGATTATTTATTCATGAGATCTCAAAGATCATTGTTACTTTTTGTAGGAACCTGCGAGGATAATCGCGACATCTATTGATTGCTGATCGTGTGATGTGTGTGTTACGCGATAGTGTGTCTGAGTGTGATACTATCTGTGGTCACGAAGTCTGGTGCCTTCGCTTGTTTTTTTAGATCTTCGATTGATGTACTGTATCCAGAGGACACCAAGAGAGTGCAAGTAAAGATTCAGTGATTAATATCTTCGATATCTTTATTATCCCATAATTAATTTACAACAAAGGTTATGGGCCCAGGGTGGGATTAAAGTTTAAAAGATATTTGTGGATTAATCGAACCGCAAATTGTCGTTATTCACAATCAATAGAATTAGCGGCTGGAACTGGCGAGTCGACTACGTGGAGTGAAAAATTAAATCGGTAAGTCGGTGGGTTTTCACAATTACTATTTTCACTGAACTAGTAGGAAGAGCAAGTTCTAAATTTTTTACTTTGTATCTTAAAAAGAAAATAGATATTCTCGAACTATTTTCTCTCGTACTAAATAACGTATTTTTTGAAATGGCTCACGAAATGGCGGCCACCGCTACGCAACCCACGACGACGGTTAATTTTATGGGAAATAATCGATCCGAAATTAGATGGCTCTAATAATTATGCATCGTGGAAATTTCTTATGCTATAATCGACGTTCATAGGAATAGATCTTTGGGAATGCGTGACAAGTACAGGAACCGTGGATACGAATAAAGATCAAAAAGTGTTAGCGGCCATATGTCTAAACATTAAGACACATTGTCAAGTACATTTTAGACTAACCACTATCGCCAAGGATGTTTGGGCGATTCTTAATCAAGTTTATGAAGACAGAGGGTTACCACGCGTTTCGAATCTAATGCGAGCTCTTTTAAAAATTGACTAGAATGACTTTCACAATATGAATGAATATGTTGCAGAAGCACTCTCTGTATCAAAAAAATTTGCAGATGTGTTGGAAATCCTATAGAGGATAAGCTGTTAGCCGTAATCATTTTGGCGGGACTTCCTCAAGAATGCAAACCCATGGTCATGGCACTGGACAGTTCAAGGGTTCAGATCACAACGGACTTGATAACAAATAACTGTTGCTAGAAGACGTTAAAAAACAGGCTGTTTCTACAATTTCTGAAGTGACATTTGCAACGAAATCGGATTACAAACGGCCAAATAAAAGCTCTTATGAAAAACAAATAAGATGCTTTACCTGTAACGGCATAAATCACATCTCAACTCAATGCAAAAAAAGGTAAGACCTGACATTTTTGCTAATACTTTCAGAAATTCGAAAAATTCCAGCAACAAGAACTGGAGTTTAATATGCACATCATCGTCAAGTTCGAGTTAACAAAATTGGTATGTTGGCTCGAGAGCGACGAATCGAGAATGGATTCAAGACTATGAACAGAATCAGGATCAGACAATTACGGTAGCGTAATGGCTCAACAATGGAGACAATGGGAAGTGGATGTGTCGCCATAAAATTACAAGGTCAGTCCGAACACAATATTTTAAACGTCTTACACATGCCAAGTTTAAATTCGAATTTACTATCTGTAAGCGCCATGGCAAATAAAGGATATTACATGCTATTCGATGATACCAAGTGTAAAATATATCTGAGAAACGATTTTCAAGTTTTCGGAAGTCCGATAGCCACCGGTTATCTAATGAAAATGGCCTTTACAAGTTAGACACGAGTTCAAATTCAGCCTATCTTGAAACGAATGGTTCAAATAACCAAGATCTCTGGTACAAAAGACTAGGACATTTGAACGATAGATGGTATTATTACGCAAAGGGTTAGCGACTGGAGTCGATTATTCGTCAAACGACCGGTCACTCTGCGTTGCTCGTATAAATGGAAAGCAAACTAAGAAACCGTTTAGCCATGAAACTAGACAAAGGGCGAATGATTTTTTAGAATTGTTACACGCTGACCTATGCGGACCATTTAATACTCTCAGCTGATCGGAAGCCCAATATATATTCGTTCTAGTTGATGATTTTTCATCTATGACTTTTGGCTATCTGCTTAAAAAGAAAAGCGATGCATTAATGGCTTTCAAAAAATTTGTAGCTTAGGCCGAGAACGAGAAATGAAGAAAAATAAAAACAATAAAAACCGACAATGGCAATTTGTAAACGAAAATCAAAGGAATACGGCACCAAACTACAATACCCTACACACCCCGCAATAAAACGGCGTCGCAGGAAGAGCAAACAGGACAATTGTGAAAAAGGCTCGCTGTATGCTGAACCATAGTAAATTGGATTCGAGATTTTGGGGAGAGGCGGTACAAATTGCGATCTATTTGAAAAACCGATCTCCTTCCAAAGCCGTGAGAGACAAGACACTGTACAAAGCTTGGACCGGCAAAAAGGTAAACTTGTCTCACCTACGAGTCTTTGGGTGCAAAGCTTATTTACATGTACCCAAAGGAAAACGAACAAAATTTGACCCCAAAGCCCAAGAATGTATCTTCGTCGGATACTGCGCGAATTCCAAAGGATATAAATTAATAAAGATCCAAAGAATCCAAGAAAGATACTCAAAGGGAGAGACGTAATTTTACAGGGTAGCCTATGAAAAATTCGGAAGGCAACAGATTCCCTCGTACAAAAATTTAGGTACTCCACAGCGTAGTCAAGAAAATGAGAACGTAGAGTCAGAGGGAGCCGAAACAGGAGGAACTAACTTCAACGTTTCTTCACCAAGTAACGGTGCACATTCTGAATCACAAACAGACACCTCACTTAGGGTACAACTCAACGGACGAAACAACTGTTCAGATTTCGCCAGAAAACAAAAGATATCCACAAAGAGAACAGAGAATTTCCAGGTATGGTAAGACACCACGCTTTTCTAGTGATCAATCGGAATCTCGAAAGTGTAGAAGAACTTCCAATAACAAAGATCAATGGAAACTAGCAATGGACAAAGAGTATAATTCACTGTTAAGAAATCAAGTAGTGATTACCCTATCCGAAGGTAAAAGGCTAATCAAATGTAAGTGAATCTTCAAGATAAAAAAGGATGGAGATGAACTCATCCGAATTCGAGACAAGATTAGTAGCAAAGGTTTTGTTTGCAGACGTATGGTCTAGGTTTTAATCAAATTTTTTCTCCTGTTGTCAGATACTCCACTGTAAGACTATTAATATCTCTGGCAATACAAACAGGAATGCAGACTGATCATTTGGATGTAACTACTGCCTTCCTCAATGGAGAATTAAAGGAAGACATATATATGGGGCAACCAGAAGGCTACATCAGCAACGAAAACAAAGTCTGCTATGTATGGGCTTAAACAGGCTTCAAAAGTCTGGTATGACAAAGTTGATTCTGTCTTCATTAAATTAGGATTCAAGCGCGAGTAAAATATGCGTTTATCATGAGGGAATGGGTGATTCAAAAATCATTGTAGC